GGTCACTTGAAGAGAAGATTCCCCCGCACAACAGGACGAAAGCTGTGACCTTTTGTAGCCAAAGGAGCTCGGTGACAACGCCGAGAGGACGTGTGACACCTGAGGGGACTTTGTGAGGGAATGGCTGACTCTGCCCGTTGTTTTCCTTTAGAACCATGTTGCCTTGATTCTGGGGGTTGAAATTCACACCCAGTGACAGTTGTACTTTGCTTGTTGTCATTTTTTTTTTTACTGCACCCAGCAGGTGTTGGCCATGGGTTGGTGGCCCTGCACTTTGGAGTGTTTGGTCACAGCACCCTGGGAGCTGAACTGTGCAAAGCATTGCTGCAGTTGGACCCGGCCTCGTTGAATCTGTGGTTTTTTCCCAGTTGGAAAAGAGGATTTTGCTACTCTCTCCCACAGCGTGAGAGGCTGAACAGAATTATCACGGCCTTGGAGGTCACCAAATTTCTTGTGCCCTCATGGGACGGATTTCTTTCCAGGAAAATTGAAGTGGAATATTTGTGTGCAAGCTCATCCAAGTCATCAGTTCACCAGCAGTGATAGAAACAAGCCAAAACCACAGAATAATTTCAACTGGAAATTATTATTACTGTAGGTGGGACATAAACAAGCCAGAATCACAGAATAATTTCAACTGGAAAGAATTCTGAGATCAGCAAGTCCAACCTGTGAGCCAGCACCACCCTGAGACCCAGAGCAGAGCATTCAGCCCTTTAAACACCTCCACAATCTGGATTTTGCTGTTTAACAACAGCACAGATCACAGCTGGGTAACTCAGCAGCTTTTCTGCACCAAGTGCCTGGAATCCTTCATTTTGAAAGAGCTAATTAGATAATTAGACTGAAGTGATTTTCCTGATCACCTCTCAGATCTGTGCTGCACTGGCAGTGCCACCCAAACTGAAAACCCAGGTGGAAAAGAGTTGGTAAAGGAAATAAGGATAAAAAAAATATATATATGTAAAAAAACCTCCTTATTACCTAAGACAGGGATGGAAATCCTGTTGGTTTGAAGAATATTTTCTTTGTGGAAGACTTAAACAGAAGAGAAGTGTATCAGGGGCTGCATTTTGTATTTACTTTGTTTAACTTTTAAATTGATTTCCATTTCTCATCTCCTCCCCGTGCTGCGCTGCTCTGGCAGCAACCACAGAATCAAAAATTGGCTTGGAAGAGGCTGAAGGAAAATTCAGATTGTTCAGAATTTCAGACTCTTCCCCCTTCCCGTGTGAGCAGCCATCACTGATGTTCTCATTTTTGGCTTCAAAGCTGTCTAAAGCTCGGATTAAAACCCAAAACGCGAGGAAGAGGAGGAGGAAGGAGCTAAGAAGTGGCTCCAAAGCGTTTTTTGGCTCTGTCAGGTGTTGCAGAGCTGGGGCCTGGTGGTGATGATGCATTTCCCAGTGCTTTTCCTTAAAATCTCCATCAGCTCTCAGAGCACAGCAGAGGTGCTGAACGCTATACAGAACTATTTTCACCCCTAAAAAATGGAATTTTAGGTGCAGTTTAGGTGTTTACTAATGCCTGTTGCTTCTAGAATTCGTAGGGCAGAACAGCAGCCAGCACTTTTTTCACTTTGTTTTTTTGTCTTTTTTTTTTACACAGTGTTATTCAAAGAGTTTTATTTTTCGTCATGTATAAATTTGTACACAGAACAATCCTTTTATTTGACACAATATATATAATTTTTAATACAAACCTTTGCACTGATTGTGTCGGTGTGTGGTGGGGTTGCTCAGCCTGAGAGTGCTGTGAGAAAAAAAAAAAAGTTATTTAAGTGGTGCAAAGCCTAAAAATTCTGTGGGTCTGGTGCTGATTTGTTGAAATATGAACATTTTATCATCTAAAATTACCTCTGGTAAAATCCTACTACAGTACATCTTTCTTAATTCTATTTTTCCAAAATTATCTAATCCTATTTACAGAACTATCCTTTAAAACTTATTTTTTAATTCTGTTTCTCTCTCAACAATGTCTGTCTTATTCTATAAAATTTCTAATTCATTTCTTCTCTCCAAGTTTACATAGAAATACCAAATATATAAACATTCTGTCAGGGTTTAAAAATTCTCTCTCTCTGAAATAATTCTCCTGTAGAGTCCTCATGTGCTCCAGGAGGGAGGAGGAAGAGGATGGATGGAAGAGGAGGAGGAAGAGATGGAGGAAGAGGATGGAGGAGGAAGAGGATGGAGAAGGAGGAAGAGGATGGAGGAGGAGGAGGAGGAGAAAAGGAAGAGATGGAGGAAAAGGAGGAGGAGGAGATGGAGGAAGAGGATGGAGGAGGAAGAGATGGAGAAGGAGGAAGAGGATGGAGGAGGAGGAGGAGAAAAGGAAGAGATGGAGGAAAAGGAGGAGGAGGAGATGGAGGAGGAAGAGGAGTAGGAGGATGGAGGAAGAGAAGAAGGAGGAAATGGAAGAGGAGATGGAGGAGGAGGAAATGGAGGAGGAGAGGAGGATGGAGAAGGAGGAAGAGATGGAGGAGGAGGAGGATGGAGGAGGAAATGGAGGATGAGGATGATGGAGGAGGAAGAGGATGAGGATGGAGGAAGAAGATGAGATGGAGGATGAGGATGGAGGAAGAGAAGGAGGAGGATGGAGAAGGGGGATGGAGGAAGAGGAGGATGGATGGATGGAGAAGGATGGAAGAGGAGGAGGAGATGGAGGAGGAAGAGGAGTAGGAGGAAGATGGAGGAGAGGATCGAGGAAGAGAGGGGGATGGAGGATGGAGAAGGATGGAGGAGGAGGAGGATGGAGGAAGAGAAGGAGGAGGAAATGGAGGGGGAGGATAGAGGAGATGGAGGAGGAGAGGAGGATGAAGAAGGAGGAGGAGATGGAGGATGAGGATGATGGAGGAGGAAGAGGATGAGGATGGAGGAAGAAGATGAGATGGAGGAGGATGGAGAAAGATGGAGGAAGAGGATGGAGGAAAAGGAGATGGATGATGCGGATGGAGGAAGAGGAGGAGGAGGAGGAGGATGGAGAAGGGGATGGAGGAAGAGGAGGAGGAGGAGGAGGATGGAGAAGGGGGATGGAGGAAGAGGAGGAGGAGGAGGATGGAGGAAGAGGAGGAGGAGGAGGATGGAGGAGGAGGATGGAG